CTCACATTCTCACACACATATATACACTCACACATGCACACACATACACACAGTCACACACACTCACACACATATATACACTCACATGCACACACACGCACACACACATACATTCTCTCACACACACACACTCACACACACACACACTCACACTGTAATATTCTTCTTTTTTTTTAGATGTTTCTTTCTAATGAACCGACCATTACATTTCCTAAGTTCTGAGATGGCCAACAGGCCGCAGAAAGACAGTTCTTTGGGCTCCTGCTTGAAAGCAGCAGCTCCGGCAAACGCTGGCCTTCATTCGGGGCCAGTCGCACCGTGATATTCTAATCGGCCGGGCCAACATCTGATCCAGGCTCATACAAGTTGGAAACCCAGTAATTAAATGCAAACACAGGCTCCTGCCAAAGATGCTAAGAATGCCTTTGAGCTAATATTTTTAACCAGAGCCGTCCGGCCGGCGGCCTCTCTTGTAAATTTCATCACACCTGCGGCGGTTTTCGCCTTTCCACTGGCCGGGCAGCCGATTTATCCCGAGGCAAAGCCGGCCTCTCGCGCCGGCCGCCCCGGCAGCCGGCCTGAACATTTGGCTTAATGTATCCCCACGGGGATCGGCCTGTTTAATTCTCTTTCATATGCTAACGTGGCTTCATTCACGGTCCGGTCCGGGCGCCGCCTGCACGGGCTGACCCTCCTCGCTCCGGCCAGAGAAGACGCAAACTTGGCGAAGACCAGGCCACGCGAGGGTCCACGTGGCGATCGATGCCCACGCAGGACTGGGACCCGCGTGGATGTGACCACGGGGACGGCGGACACCCCTTCCTCCGAGGGCGGGCCGCCTGGTGCCGGGGGGACGTGTGTGTCCTGGGGACGGGTGGCTTTTATCGTGACATCGGGGCTGAGACCCCCATGTCCAGCCGGCCGGGCGGCCGCGATTCGGCGTCCCCCGGGCACGCGAATGCCGCCTGCCTCAGCAGACACCGCGCGAGGCCTCCTCCACCCGCCGCTGCCGTGGACGGTTAGGGGGGAACCAGGGAAGCGCCTGCTCCCGGGCCCCTTTACTGTCTGTTTTCCGGCTTAAAAGGCTCCACCGGTCCCCAGCCTGGGATCTTGGTGCATTTCCGGGCGGTTTCTCTGTCCTCTGGTGGGTAGAGGCTGGTAAAACATGCGTGCCCCCGGAGCGCCTGCACAGGGGAGCTGGCTCGGACCGTCCCCAAGCGGGGTAGCTGTACCTCCTCTTCTCCCCGCATGTCCCCACCGTCCGGCCATTCCCTGGGGTCCCCGCCACTCCATGGAGTTCCCACCACCGTCTGCGTGTGGCCCGGGACCGGGTCTGAGCGGCCGCCCCGGCTGGGCAGCTGCTGATGTCTGGACCTGGGTTTCCAGCCGTTTCCTTGCAGGTCTCAGATGCACCACGTGCTCCTTAAGCTCAACCTGGACTCCACCGAGACCCGTGGCCGATGCTCCTCCTTCTGCTCTTGTACCTGCAACACCTGGCCCAGGACTTTCTGAATGAATGCATGAGTGAGCACATGAATGGGTGAATGAATGAACGCAGGACTGGATGAGTGAATGAATGAGTGAGTGAACACATGAATGAATGCATGAGTGAGTGAACGAGTGAGCACATGAATGGGTGAATGAATGAACTCAGGAATGGATGAGTGAATGAATGGATGAGAGAATGAACGCATAATGGATGAGAGAATGAATGAACGTATGAATGGATGAATGAACGCATGAATGGATGCGTGAGTGAACTCATGAATGGATGTGTGAATAAACGCATGAATGGATGAGTGATGAGTGACTAAACGCATGAATGGATGAGCGAATGAATGAACACATGAATGGATGAGTGAATGAATGAATGCGTGAGTGAGTAAATGCATGCCTGAGTGAGTGAATGGGTTGATACAGTTATTACCTCTGCATGAAGGCATGAAATCATGAGAAGGTAACTGTTGGGCGGGAGCTGTGTGGGAAACGTGGACCTAGAGCGTGCGTGGTCTTTATGTGCGTGGCAGTCACAGACCTGCGCCCAACGGGTGGTTTGTCGCTTACAAAGCACCTGACACGCGTTTCTATTTGTTTCTGTGTCCGTAAGTAACACATGCTACACGCACACGCTTACACACAGCTCCCGGCCAGCGCTGTTTCCTTGTTAGCAACTTGCCTCTGAGCCACCGCTGTGTACGTTCCGGTGGCCACGCGCGGCTCCCGGGTTAGCAAGCAGGTGCACTGCACGCGCATAAAGGACTTAACGGCGATGAACTTAAAAACCGCGAGTTGCACGTTTTGCTGGAAATAGCAAATCGCAGACCCGCCGCCCTCCCGTCTCCAGCCCCCCAGCAACCCCCTCGCCCTCGTCAGCGAGTCCATCTCCAACCGTTGTTACACAGTCATTTGGACAAACGATTTCAGTGGCGCCCTTTCGAAATAATCGTGGAAATGGATTCCTTACCGAACGTTCATTTCCTGAGGCCGTTTCCGGCTCCTCACAGCCCCCGGGTCCCTAAGGACACGCTGTGCCCACGCGCGGTGGCCGTCCCCCCAGAGACCTCCGGGAGAGGGGGTCCCCGCTTTTCCGTCTTTTATTTTTTAATATATTTTTATTGATTTCAGAGAGGAAGGGAGAGGGAGATAAAAATATCAGTGATGAGAGAAAATTGCATCGTCTGCCTCCTGCACGCTCCCCACTGGGGATCGAGCCCACAACCCGGGCCTGTGCCCTTGACCGGAATCGAACCCGGGACCCTTCAGTCTGCAGGCCGACGCTCTATCCACTGAGCCACACCAGCCAGGGCACGTTCAGATCTTTTAAAGGGCCAGATGAGATTTTATTCCCCTCCCTGCCCCTCTCCTCCCTCCCCCCTTACCCCCCTCCCTGCACGTGTAGAAAATTAACAAAGATAACCATCTTCTCAGCAGAAGCAGGGCACCCCACGGGGCCTCCCCGCCCCCGCCCCCACCCCTGCCCCCACCCCTTGCTCAGCAAAGGACCCGCCACCGAAAGGCCTGCTGAGCGGGAGGGTTCGCCGGCCGCACCGCGTGGCAGGTGCCGGGGCGGCGGCAACCAGCATCTGTCTGCATCCTCAGACCCAGCCCGACGCCCCCTGCGCCCGGGAGCGGGGCCGTAATGTATGCGGGGAGACCTGAGGGGGGGCCTGGCGAGGAGGGTGGAGGGCCCCCGCGCACCCCCTGCGAGCTCAGCGCGAGGCGGCTTCGAGGAAGAGCCGGTAATTAGTCCCCGAGTGCATCCGGGAGAACAGATGAGAGGCGGCTACTTGGAGGCTTGGCCAGTCATCAAAATGGAAAGGCCGCAGGGAGAGGGCGTGGAGGAGGACGCCTGCGTGCAGACCGCGGCCCCGAATGGGTAGCGACGGGCTGGTGAGCGCGTGTGTGTAAGGTCTGTCGCCGTGTAAGCGTCACCCGCACTTCAGGGGAGCACGCCCCCCACTGGGGGCGGAGGGAGCCCGCAACCCGGGCGTGTGCCCTTGACCGGAATCGAACCCGGGACCCTTCCGTCTGCGGGCCGACGCTCTATCTGCTGAGCCACACCAGCGAGGGCCCGCCCGTCTTTTTCTTGACTCTGTCTCCCCGTCAATCAATATTTATAAAGGCCCCTCTGGCCGCAGGTGCCTGGCGGGTGGGGAACCTCTGGCCCGCGGGCCGAATGGGATAAGGCCCATGACACCATCTGGCCTGGCCCTGCCACGGCATCCGGGGCGCGTTCGTGAAACGCCTGACCCAACAGAGCAGGGTCCTGTTTAAGCGGGTGATTGTGGGTGGCTGGCAAATGATGTCATCAAGATCCCAATGGCCTGGGGCAGAGAGACACAAAGGTTCCCCACTCCTGTCTTGGAACAGCGGACGGAGGAGAGACAAGGAAGCAGAACAGGCTGTGGCACCTCAGAGGGGAGGGAGGGGAGGGAGGGAAGGAGGGAGGGAGGGGAGGGGGAGGCAGAGATGAACCAATGAACTTGTGTGCATTTGGGCATCACCCCTGGACACAGACAATGGGGTGGTGAGGGCCTGGGGGGTGAGGGGGGCGGGAACGGGCTGGGAGAGGTTAAACGGGGCAAACGGAGGGCCTAGGTAACGCTTTCCACAATAAAGATTGAAAATCATGAATCACAAACAAGAAAGAAAGAAAACAGGGGGGCCCCCAGGAGGGAGGCCAAGCGGGCGGCCAGCGTCCCCGCCTCTCTCTCTGAGGGACCCAGGACGAAACGCCAAGACAAGTCTCGGACCTCAGGCCCCACCGTCAGGCGGAAGGGCCCCGGCCGGCCTCTATCTGATGGTGATCGTTTGCCACAGAGCCCCGGGTTCTGGGCTCCTGGCAGCCGCTGGAGTTGCCAGATGGTCCATTATCGCGGACGGGCAGGCAGGTGGGGCCTTCAGAGTCATTTAGAAAATGTCACCCGGACAAGGGCCCTGTCACTTCTGATTGGAATGATCTCCATCAGACCCGGCCGCCGACCTTACCTGGGGCCGGGAATTCATGCCGCGATTCAGGCTCGGGCGGGTCGCGGGGTTCGGAGCGGCCCCACCACTGGGGACCCACTTGCCGGCGGTATAATGACCCCCCCCTCGTCCTGGTGTCCGATGGGGACAGAGGTGACCTTGCTCCGGGGCCAGCAGTGTCTAACGGGCGGCGATGTGGGCGGGATTTTGACAAGACGTTCTCCCCGCGCCCTTTCCCATCCCCCGCCCAGGAAGCTGGCTGCGCAGGGCTCCTGGGACACGGGCCGCGGAGAGGGGGGGCACACCCTGAGGAGGGGAACGCCGCTGGGCGCTGAGCCCTGGCCGGTGTGCTCAGTGGTTAGAGCGTGGGCCGGCGCATCGAAGGGTCACGGGTTCGATTCCCAGTCAAGGGCACGTACCTAGGCTGCAGGTTGGATCCCCCGCCCCAGCCGGGGCGCGCGCAGGAGGCAGCCCATTCATGTCTTTCTCTCACATCGATATTCCTCGCTCTCTCCCTCCCTCTCTCCCTCCAGATGTGAAAAGCCTGGAGAACTTGCAGCTGGTGGAGGGGGTGCAGGAGCAGGTGCACGCGGCGCTGCTGGACTACACGGTGTGCAACTACCCGCAGCAGGCGGAGAAGTTCGGCCAGCTGCTGCTGCGGCTGCCGGAGATCCGGGCGCTCAGCCTGCAGGCCGAGGAGTACCTGTACTACAAGCACCTCAACGGCGACGTGCCCTACAACAACCTGCTCATCGAGATGCTGCACGCCAAGCGGGCCTGAGCGCGGCCGGGGGGCGCGGCCGGGGGCCCCCGCTTTCCGGACGGAGCGAGGCGGGTGTGGGGAGGGGAGAGCGGACGGGAACGAGGAGGGAGAGCTGCTCCACGCCCCCCCCCCAGGAGAGCCGTGGGGGGAAGGGACCGCGTCTGGGAGAGGGCACCCTCGTCCCGGGCCGGACGGCAGCTGAAGGCTGCATCGGGGTCCTTGTGTTGGAAACTGTGAACCCGGAGCTCCGCGGCCTGAGAGACGCGGGCGGGACTCCCCTTCGGACGCGGGCCCCACGGCAGAGCGACCTCGGACCGAACGATTCTCGTATTTCACACCGATCTCCGCGGTGGAGGGACTGCCCGGCGGCGGGCACTGGGCGCGCTGGGCGGGGGTCGGAGGCTACAGCATCCCGGCCGGCCCCGCCCACCTGAGACAGCTCCCCAAAGCCTATCGGCTGCACCTGGACGGTCCCTCCTCTCCCCGGCAAGAACCCAGCACCTTCTGTCCTGCGATCCATCCATCCATCCATCCACCCGTCCATCGAGGAATCTATGCTAAGGCCCCAGCCACGCCCACTGGCCGCTCCCCGAACCCTGACAACGCTCAGACCTCCGTGTCTGAGACCTGCCCGCAGCGCGTGAGAACCGTCTGTGAACCGGTCGGCCGGCCATGCCCCGCGCATTCTGGCTGGTCTGGTCTTGTGCTCACAATGTTACAAAAAAGGAGAAAAGAAAGAAAGAGCTGGCAGTATCCGCTCTCTCTCCCGCGCCGATCGGCGCACGAATGGCCAGGAAGGGAAGTGGCTACAAAGTGTCAAAGCCGAGGTCGCCTGGACCCCATGGCGGTACTGGTACTGCGCTGCGGCGTCGGCAACGGTCCGGTTTCATGTAAAAAAAAAAAAAAAAATTCTGGCCCGAAGGCCCGTCCGCACACGTCCGTCTGCGTGAGCTTCCACGCTTGCGGCCCATTTAAAAATTAAACTCGCCACCATCCCGCCCGGGGCGCCTCCTCGTCGTGGCCGGGAGACGTTGAAGGCAGACGGGGGCAGCGAAAGCTACGCACACGGGAAAGGCTGGACAAGCCCATAAATGGACCGAACCCCGAATGGAGACGTGATTTTTTTTTTTTCTTTTTTTTTACATGTGGCTGGAAATCTATTCGAGGGATTGAGATCTTCCCCAAAAGGGAGACGAAGAGAGGGGTGGCTGACCATCCGAGTCACGGGCCAAAGTTTGCAGAACAAATATTGGGGGGGGGGGAAGACGGGGGGCGGGGACGTGCCAAGCGATCGCCCCCGACATCGCCATCAGTGTTACCAGCACGCAATTGCCATGGGTCCCATCGTCTTGCCTTATCTCGCAACTCTGAGAGGTTCGCCGTGCGGATGCGAATCACCTTTACAATAAAGTATTATTACTACGTGAAAAGTCCAAGAACGTACAGTGTTTACATTCTTTAGGTCCTGTGTTGGGGGGGCGGGGCGGGGCGGGGCGGGCGGGGCCGGGAACCGTGATAAAGACCGTGTAGCTCAAGCAGGACTTCCCTCGATGTCATTGTTTTCTGATCGGTCATTCCCCTGAACAACCTCCCTCAATTACTGGAGATGTCGTGAGACACTAAAATCAGAGATCGGGGATCGCGCTGAGACGTTGCTTAATTTTATTTTTTTTGAGATGATCGGCGGCACAATCACTTGTAGAAACTGTAAAGAGAAGATGATAATAAAATAAAAAGTATCCCCTAGTCCCTTAATTTCTCCCCCCTCCCTTCTCCCCGCCCCCCATAAATGTGTCTGGCTTTGGAATAGGTTTATTTATATTGTATATCCTCGTTTCTCGACTGTAGACGATGATGATGCTAATTTATTGTTCCTTCGTTTCCCCTCTGTATACGCTAGAGCCCAGATGGGGAGAAACCAAATACATACGTCTGTACTGTCGCATGTCAAGTTAGAGGCACGGGCCTCCGGGACGCAGAAGGGTCGTGACGGACTGAGAACCATTCACTTGATTAAATGTCTGTAAATCTCCACCGGGATTTCTGTGGTTTCTTTCGAGGCCTGGACCTCCCCTGCGTGTGCGAGCGGACGGAACAGGAGGGGGCCCCGGCCTGCCTGCGCTCTCCCGGCATTGTGAGCCGCAGACCAGAGACACGCGTGGCGGTGTGCGTGGGCGCGAAGACGGTTATCTTATTACCAGAGGCCCGACGCACGAAGATTCGTGCAGGAATGGGCCTTCCTTCCCCTGGCTGCCGGCACCGCCTTGGCTCCTGCCGGAGCCGCCTTTCCGCCTTCCCAGGCTGCCCAGAGTGGCTGGGGCGGTGCGGAACGCCTGCGTCGTCGCCATGGCAACAACACAAGCGTCCCACCCTGCCCCTGGCTGCTCGGCACCTGCATATGCAATTAACCCGCCAGCTTTATTGGGTTCATTTGCATACTTGCTCCTGATTGGCTGGTGGGTGTCACGAAGGTACGGTCAATTTGCATCCTTCTCTTTTATTAGTGTAGATTGATGTGAGTCTCCTCGCACTTTCGTCCACGTGAGGGGTGCTCGGTGGCTAAGCTGCGTGTCCACGGCTCCGAGCGGGGTCTCGGCCACCTGTGTTCCCTTCCTGGCTCAGGGGGGAGCTGGCCCGAGCCCCCATCCAGAGTGCAAGCTAGGCCGACAGCAGCATGGCTCTCGGGTCAAAGCCAAGCCAGCTAGCTCAGTGGATAGAGCATCGGTCTGTGCCCTGAAGGGTCCCAGGTTTGATTCCCAGTCAAGGGCACATGCCCAGGTCGCGGGCTGGATCCCCAGAAGGGGGCGTGCAGGAGGCAGCCGATCCGTGATTCTCTCTCATCATTGGTGTTTCTCTCTCTCTCTCCCCCTTCCTCCCTGAAATCGATTTAAAAAAATTAAAGGCCAAGTCGGCCAGAAGCCCCGTGCAGAGCCATGGTGTCCACAGTGAATGAAAGGGTTCCGTCCCAGAACCAGGAGACCAACGGGAGATTAGGAGATTGGGGGTGGGGGCGGGGGAGTTAGTTATTTGGAGGGTCTTGAACATTGAAAAAAATAGATGGGTTTTTTTCTCTTAAAGTATGTTTTTATTGATGTCAGAGAAGAAGGGAGAGCGAGAGAGAGAGACAGAAACATCAACGATGAGAGAGAATCATGGATCGGCCGCCACCTGCACGCCCCCCACTGGGGATCGAGCCCGCCACCCGGGCCTGTGCCCTGACCGGGAATCGAACCCTGACCTCCTGGTTCCTAGGTCGACGCTCAGCCCCTGAGCCACACCGGCCGGCCATTGTTAAAATCCTGGTGGAGAGGGAGCTCCTGGAAGCCCGGCCGGCAGCCAGCGAGGTCCCTGTGATGAGGGGGCCTGCCCGCCGCCGTCGCCTGGAACAACATGCCCCCGGTCGCTTAGCCGTCAGCGCGAGGCCGCCAGACGGGACCCAGCTCAGCTCAGGGGCCTGATCGTTACATCCGCTCCTCGCAGCCACGGTGCCGCCGTCCGTCCCTCTAACTGAGTTTGACGTTCTCTCCGAAGCCGTCACTGACGTGTGTTTGTGTGAAAACCGGGGAGAGGGGCCCCCCTCCCCAGCCCGACACGGGTCACAGGCTGTGCGGCCGAGTGGGCCCGACACCCCCCTGGAATAACAAAGGCCGGTGCTCCCCAGCGTCCGGCAGGAGCTGCACAGCCCAGCCCCCCTTGAAATAAATGCCCGGCCCTTCTTTCCTGTGGGCCCTTCTCCCCCATGGGCACCGGCTCTGTGCTGAGCTGAGGGTCCGTCACGCAGGGGCTGGTATCGGGCTGTGAGGATGGGTTTGTGTGCAGACAGGCTGAGAACCAATAGGAGACCTCGCCTGTTTGTTTCTTTATTTAATCTGATTTCAGTGATTCCAGAGAGGAAGGGAGAGGGAGAGGAGAGGAGAGGGAGAGGGAGAGGGAGAGGGAGAGGGAGGAGAGGGAGAGGGAGAGGGAGAGGGAGAGGGAGAGGGAGCCATCAAGGATGAGAGAGAATCATGGACCGGCCGCCTCCTGCACGCCCCACGCTGGGGATCGAGCCCGCCACCCGGGCCTGTGCCCTGACGGGGAATCGAACCCTGACCTCCTGGTTCGTAGGTCGACGCTCAGCCCCTGAGCCGCGCCGACTGAGCCGGCATTAGCCAGTTTAGATGGTGGCCTGGCGGTCCTCTCCTAACGTTTAAAATTAATTGCCTATAAAAATAACACGTTTCCAAAACAAAAAATTAATATATAAATAGGTGGGGATGCTGCTTACGGAGGCCTAGGAGGCTGGACAGGGGCCCCTCGAGGGGGAGACGATCAGGGAGGGGAGACGCCAGGAGACAAGGCCCCGGGGCAGCAGCCCCAAACAGGGAAGGATTTTTTAAAAAGGGGGAGAAGGGGGGTGGTGGGAAGGGGGGTGGTGAGAAGGGGACGGTGGGAAGGGGGCGGTGGGAAGGGGGGGCGTTGTTACACAGAAACAGAAAAGATCTGTAAGACCAGGTCACACCAGAAGGGCACTCCCCCCTAACATGAAGGCGGCACCAGACTCCCTCATTCTGTGCAAAACTGTGGCCAAATAAGGCCTGGGTGTTGGGGGCGGGGGGTGGCGGGGGTTATCTGTGCGCACAGGGGTTTCAGCTCCCGAAGTACGCATCCTCGGAGCTTCCTGCCTTTCTCTCGGCGTGGGGACCGCTCCGATGGCCCGGAGGGCGGGGGGGGGCCGGCGGGGGGGCGGAATCAGGGGCTTTCCACCAGCGCTGATTTACGGCCCGGGGATGCCCACGTCCTGTTTTCCCAGTGGCAGGAAGCGGCCCCACTACAGCCCGGCGCTCAGCGACGCCTCCAGCGGCCGCAAGGGACCCGGGAGGGCCCGGCACAGGCAGCCAGCGCGGACCTGGGACCCGCGTGGGGTACATGTTCGCACACAATCCAGTGTCATTGCGGGGCAACAGGCAAACTGAAGGCCCACTTTGTGGTGGTTAATCCTCACCAGAGGGCATTTTCCCATTGGCTTTTTTTTAAATATTTGTATTGATTTCAGAGAGGAAGGGAGAGAGAGAGAAACATCCATGATGAGAGAGAATCGTGGACCGGCCGCCTCCTGCACACCCCACACTGGGGATCAAGCCCCAAAGCAGGGCCTGTGTCCTGACCGGGAATCGAACCCTGACCTCCTGGTTCGCAGGTCGATGCTCAACCACTGAGCCACACCGGCCGTGTGACTTTATTTTATTTTATTTTGAAAGAGAGAGAGTGGAAGGGATGGGAAGAGACAGAGAGAAACATCGACATGAGCGAGACATCGACCGGCGGCCGCCCGCATGCACCCCTAATGGGGGACCAAGCCCTCCACCCAGGTGCATGCCCTTGACCGGAATCGAACCCGGGACCCTTCAGTCCTCGGGCCGCCGTGCTATCCACTGAGCCACGCCGGCCAGGCAGGACCTGCGTTTTACCAAGACCCCCAGGTGACGGACATGCCTCCAGTTGGCAGAGCGACGGCGTTTCGCTCCTTTCAGAATCGCTAGCTCGTCTGTAGCAGTTTTAAAACGTGTTTCCGGCAGGGCCCTGGGCCTCCCGGTGGGTCTCCTGCTCCGACAGCGTTTGGACGGGACAGACCCAGGGATGGCCCTGCCCCCGCCTCCGGCCGCCCTCCGGCGTCTCACCTGGCCTCCACCTCCGAGAACGGCCAGCACCCCGGCTTCCTCTCTGCCCTCACTCAGTGCGAACAGCCACGCTCTCCCCAGTTCGTCAGGAGGTGGAGGCCCCGTCCCCCGCCCGGCCACCCGCCCCGCCGGCCGCCCACCTACCTCTCGCTGGGCTTCTGTTTCGACCTTGACCGTGCGGCTGTGGAGGGCGGGGGTGGCCACCTCTCCCTCGAGTGGGCGGAGAAGAAGCCCGAGGGCCTGGGCATCTTAGAGACGCGAACCAGCGCCCTGAGGCCTCCCGGGATGAGCGGGCGAAACTCGGGGCCAGGGAAGTCGCCCTGGCCTTGACCTTGGAGAGGAGCCTGACCCAGGCCCTTTGGTAGCTGCAGCCCCAGGTTCCGCCCACACAGACCCGCCTCCCCGTGACCTCCTGCAGGTGAAGCTCATCGGGAGGATGGGCCACACCTGCCTCACCTCCGCAGGGGGCCCCAGGCTGGGCTGGGCGAGCGTCTCTTCGAAAGGCTCCCCCTCGGCACAACCAGGAGCCTGTGGGGCCCAGAGGCCTTTGCCGGGGGCGGGGGGGGGGGGGGGTTGCCTCTGCCTGGTGTCTGGCGTTTACGTGAGCTTCTTCCCCAAAATTACTAGCCATTCTTTTTAAAAAAACAAAACATGTTTTTATTGATTTCAGAGAGGAAGGGACAGGGAGAGAGAGAGAGAGAGAGAGAGAAACATCCATGATGAGAGAGAACCATGGATCAGCTGCCTCCTGCACGCCCCCCACTGGGGATCGAGCCCACAACCCAGGCAGGTGCCCTGATG